CACTTTCATATTCCCTATATTCATCTCATCTCCTTTTTTCTACACAGGTGGCATGCTGCTATATCAATTGATGGGATTCTCTCTCGCACTTTTACACTTCATGCTGGAGTCCCACAAGGTTCTGTGTTGTCTCCCCCTTCTGTACATTCTCTATGTTGCTGATATGCTTTGTCCCCAGCCTCCTCTTCAGTTGTTTCAATATACTGATGACACAACTTTGGTAGCCCATTGTTCCACAATGTCAACTCTGAACAAGCTACTCCAGCCTGCTGTAAATTAATTTTTGTCTTGGTGTCACTGCTGGCGACTATCCCTCGATGTTCCTAAGACACGAGCTATTCTTTTTGGTCCAACTCGTCATAAGTTTCGCCCTTGCCGTGACCAAAACGGCAGGTTTAAATTTACTACTTAGGTGAAAGATCGTTTAGGTATTTTCTTCAAATATGATGAATAATGCCTTTCAAAACTCTGAGACGAGGTCTTAGAAATTACAATATTTTGGCTTACAAACATCATTTATCCCACTTTTCTATACTTTACATTTCCTTCATTTTTTTTTAAATTTCCCTAGTTTTAATACAGAAACTTGTGAATTCCAAGTTAAGAATGAAACTAGCCCTAAGGTTACTTTAATTTCCAGAACTTAATCTATAGTAATATACACTATCTTATGGGGCAGTTATATTGTAGCCAACATCACATGAATGTGAGGCTATTTCACAACTATCACATGGGGTGGGAAATACAACAATGTCTTAGAACTTTGCCATGCAAGTTGTTAGCTATAAAGATAATGTGATTTTGTAACACTCAATAGAGATCTTGTCCAGTTATAGATCAACCATGATGTGCTATTGAAATCTTCTTGTTTCGTTTCTTATGTTCTTTACCATTAACAAAGACTTACTGCTGATCAAGACTTGAAAGTAATTCAGTAAGTCTAAGATTTAATTTTAACTTTATTTTCATTAAACAGTTTTCCTTTCAACTTTTTATTTGCTTACTCTCAAACATTGCAGTTATTGCCACATTCAACCTTTAGCTTTGGTGTGATTCCATTTGAATTAATAGTGTGTCTTTTGCTGTTTTCAAAACGAGTCTCGTTTCTTTCACTTAATTAGTGAAAAAGCACTATGTTGGTCATACTAGGTTCACAATGTTTGTATTAATGCACTGACCAGAGAACTGTGCACTTTACTTGTTCCAAGTCTTGAAATATTACAGATCATTTTTATTGATAGAAATTTTGGTATCAAATACTAAGATCCATTTATTACAGAAGCTTGTTTGTGTCTTTGAATCCTCTCAAGTATTGCTCTCTCATGCTCTTCTGAGATACTACCCAAGAGATGTTTGTGCAATATAGTAAACATATGGCAGAGGAGACTCACTTTAATATATACTGATTAAGTCACAAAGAAGTTGGCTGTTTAATGCAGGTTGCTCTCCAACACTTCAACAAGTGTTCTAGTTTTATACTTTGGCTACCAACCAAGATGACTGAACCATGATCTAAACCTTCAAGGATCACAGATAATGTCTGTCATTCTCTCATAAAACATGCAAGTCCAAATATGCTAGTAGAAATCTTATGTGAAAAGATGACAAATCATGGACAGGCAGATATTTTGAGAAGGTCTATACATTAAGTCACATAAATCAGTCCAGTGCACCAGAGGCAAAGCCACATACTTGGTGGTTCCTTTAATGTCACCAAGCTGTAAGCAGTAGGTGAATAGATTTTTGCCGACCAGACTATACTCACCACCACCAAATGGTTCAGTTTCAACAAACCACGTGCATCATGCCTCCTGGATTAATCAAGAGCCCTCCTTTCACATACTAGATCCACAAGTCTCTCGTTGTCATAGTTCAAGTAGTTCTGTGCTTCAATTGTTCTAAGTTTTGGAACATGACATTCTTAACATGTACGTGGAGTTCGGCAATTTGGTCTTAACTAATAATTTGTGTCTGCAATTTTAAACTACCTTACACAAATTTCTTTTAATAAAATATCTTTTAGTGTTATTATAATGACAAAACATTGATATTTCTAAAGTTTTGAACAATATAAACCTAAATATAAAACCAAAAATCAAATGGATTTTAAATTTTTTTTTTATCATCTTAAGCATATTTTCTGTATACAGAGTTCTTAAAATTTTACTGAAGCTTTTAAATGTAGACAAGACAATACATTATGTCCACACTGAAGCAACAACTTCATTGACAAATTGTTTCTTGGCAATAAATATGAAATGTCAAATGTTACATAATGCAACTGTTACAGTTTGAGAATGGAACAAAGCCAAATGTACAGATACAGTTTACATTAGTGATCATAATTATTTGACATTTTACTCAATCACTGATGACTATGCATTTAATTGGTTCAAGGATTTCACAATGAAAAATACACAAAACACTAAGCGAAACTAGAATGAAAATATTAAGAAAATTTTCATGTTTATCACTTTTACATACCCTATTTATAAAGCTGCAACAATCTATTATCATGATTCTTTGCAGACATACCGCTGTGCCACTGGGGGGGCTCCAAATTAAAAATGATGATTTCTTACAAGCGAGGTTACAACATAGTTTTACTTTTATACAAACTACTGAAAAATGGAACTGATGGGAAAAAAAAAAGTTGAAAATTTAATAAACAGAACTTATTGTAATATAGAAAATTATCAGGCTTAATCATGCTAAGTATAGATTTACTGTTCAGAGTGTCTCTGATAACTTGACACCTTTTATACAAGTTCCCTTATGGTGGAATGACAGATTAGAGAGGCTAAACGTAAGCTACCATATCAGTTAGAACATGATTAAAAATTTATAGACTGTTAAGCTTTTCTAGTTAGAAACTCAATGTCACTTGGTTACTTTATAACAAAAAACAAAGATTGCATTTCCAGATACAATCAAACAATATACCTCAAAGAGTTTTTAAGAAAGAAAGCCTTCTGGAGTAAGTCAAATGTTGAGTTGAACTATTCCCTAGAATCATTTAAATAAACAATGAAGCTCAATGTAATTTAATCCAAGAATGCAATAAAAAATACAAACAGAGCAAGAATGTTAGTAATAATTGAGCAATCCTAACACCAAATGTATCTATTTATGTACTTCTTTTTTTAGAACAATTTTACTCCAATTCTATCAGGATTTGCTCATCTTCTACAGTTTCTCCAGGTTTACAGTTCACAGCTTTTACTTTTCCTGTGGAACCAATTGACAGACTATTCTGCATCTTCATGGCTTCTATAATACACACTTCCTGGCCTTCAGCAACCTGGAGGCAGATAATATCAAGTTTTAAACACCAAAGAAAGTTTCAATAATATGATACAAACCTTCCATATTTCTTTAGAAAAAAAAAAGTTAGTAGAAATGCTGCACCATGTATAGGTGTAAAGAATCATTAAATGAGAGAAATTTTTGGTGTATTTTCATTTAACCATATCGCAATGAGCTCGGTATAAAATACCGAGTTTGTATACACATTTGCACACGTTAAGAATTTATACTATAACTTTTAATACAGTAAGTATATCTTCACAAAATTTGGTAGACTTTTAGTAAACATTACAAGTTATTTGTAAACAAAAAATCAGATTTTTAATTGAAGTATTTTTTTACTAAAGATTTGTTTGTAATATATCGAGTCTGTTTTGTTACTAGTGCGAATGCGAAGTGATTTACATATCATGATTAAAAATACTATTCTTTGTCTCCAAAATCTCAAATTTCATTTGTGTAATCTCTAAAACCTCCTAAATAAATACCAAACTTGTTTTTTTCAGTAAAACTTTATATTTTATCTGTTATTTTCTCTACCATAGCTCTACACAAGGTTGGTCAAATTGACCAACCTCATAACCACCGAAAAAAACATGAAAACATCTAAATCTAAAGTACTCTTTTTACTCTCTAGAATGACTTCAAATTCTAACATGAAACTACATTCGTTTATCCTAAGTAGCTATAAACTCGTAACAGTATACATCTATTTATACTTAAAGTTTATTGTGTTATTGCCCTTTGAACCATGTCTAATTACCGTTCATGGCATTATAAGTTGTAAATCACTTGAGGAACGTGAAATTCATGTTACATTATCGAATTACATTACCCACAAGCTACTCTGAGATGTTCGTGTGCATGCCTCATGAAACATTTTTATTATATTATTATTTATTTTACCTAATCTAACCTTAACTAACCTAAAGAGATCCCTGTTTTTAC